AGTCTTTGTATCAGCTTGACAAGGCTAATCTGTCACGATTAAAGGAAGGTAATCATGGTTTTCTATTTCCTTGTATCCACAGCTGTTGATCAGGAATATAAAGGCCACAATATCTTTTTCTTCTAGGTTTGATTTATAGATTCAAATAGTTGATTTTGGGCGCAGGCAGACTAATGGTTAGTGCGTGCAACTCATGTAGAGAGGCTATAGTCCTCCAAGCGGGCGGACCAGGTTCAAATCTGACCTGTGGCTCCTTTCCTGCATGTCATTCCCCACTCTCGCTCTTTTTTTCTCTCTCCCAGATTTCTGACTCTATCCACTGTCCTACAGCATCTCTGAATTAAAGGCATGAAAAAGCCTAATAAACAAACTTCTAAAATGTTGATTTAAAGTTTGGATCTGTACCTTCAAACCTGAGTTCAGCCTGCAGTCAGTGATGTTTGTGTCACTTGGAGGCAATGCTGAAAACAAAACACTAACATGTCGTCAATTTAAAAAGATTACTTAGAAAAGTTCTAGTTTACAGGTGAGTTTACGATGTTTCTTTGAGCTGTGTTTGTCATAACCTGACAAACCTAAGTCCAATATTCAGTTTCAATGTCATTTTTATCTTCATCAACCTCTCAGGGAAACATCGAGCTAAATAAATATATTTTAAGCTACATGCTCCCCGACATCACTTTAGTGTTGTTGTTAAGTTTGTTATGATCTGAGCAGATAGCATAAAGGTGATTGTAAGATCTGTTTCACTTAAAGGAGCTGCATGTCGCCTGAAACCGACCAATAAGAAGAGCGAGAGTGAACCAAAACATTAAGGCTGCGTGGGCCATGAATCTGAAACAATGAGCTCAAAGACACTAAATGGTTCCATAGAGCTCAGAAGGGAACTACAGTTAATTCTCTGCAGGCTTTGTTTGTTTTTACCATGAAGGACCTTCCTAAAGTGATGTGAGCTGTCAAAAGATAAATATTGATTACAGTGGCTTCTTGCCAACTTTTTAAAGGACTGGACACATTTACTGAATAGTCAGTGAACATTTGCCAGAGTCTGCTTATTAGAGGTTTATTTTGGGGATTTTTATGCCTTTATTTAGAAATAGGAAAGTATAGAGTCAAAGTCAAAGAGAGAGTGGGGAATGACATGTAGAGGAGCCACAGGTCGGATTCAAACCTAGGCCGCCCACTTGGAGGACCATAGCCTCCGCACACTAACCACAAGGCTACTGGCGCCCCCAGAGTCTGCTTATTGATGTTTTGATTTACTAAAAAAAAAAAAAAAGTTACATACTTTCCCAGGTTTATCTACTTTCTAAATTTTCTTCTTTTTTTTCATGTGTAAAATGTTTGAATATGTTGTTGAAGGCTCATTATGGTATTTATTGAGAGGTGTAGCTGGTCTACACCATAGACTGTAAATATTACTACACTGAACTTTCTGCAATAAGGCCCCCCAAACGTGTGTCATAGCAGCCAACCGTAAAGAAATAATCGTAATGCTTACGTGTAGCAGAGAAGTAGAAGAAATATTTGGGGCAGGGGATGGTGACCACCTCTCCAACTTCTGCACCGGGCCAACAGGTGATCTTATCCCACATCCCACTGCAGCCTGTCAGACAGAGAGAAGGGTCAAAAGATAGACCTGTCACACATCGAAACACCACCCCACAGAGAGGTCAAAACATGCAGGAGAAGAAGAGTTTTGATGTTAGAAACTGTGCGAGACAACTCCTCTCAGTGACAAACAGAAACCTGCTCCAGGTGAAGGTTGAGCTCTGGAGTTCCCATGGCAGCAGAAACATGACAGCTTGAGTCAGACAGACAGACAGACAGACAGACAGACAGACAGACAGACAGACAGACAGATAGATAGATAGACTTTATTGTCTGTCCCAACAGAGACAGAAATCATCCTTTGTCGCTAAAGCCAAAACAGTGAACAACCTGAATCAACACTCCGACACTGACTAATACAACAGCCTCCTGTAACAAACTGTTATTTATATTCAACAGACAACTGCAACTAAAATCAGGTCACAGCACTTTATAACCTCACACCTGCTCACCATGAATCATCAGTATAAAAGGCGATATATCAACACCTGAGCATTGTCTATATTTAAATGTTACAAACCTAAAGGCAGTCATGTTTACATTCCAATGATAATGAGTGTTAAATGACTTTTTTATCGTGTGCAGGTAAGCAGAGTCTCATGACACCGTGAGTGAGGCTCAGTGGGGTTTCAGTTACACACAGAGGTAATAGAGGCTCACTGAAGCATCATTATCCATCAGCAGATTACAATTATGTGGCGCGTGCTGTGTGTATGCGACATAACACTGAAAGGGATGCTTCGCAAATTTGCATTAAGCTTTGTAACTGAAGTCTGTACTCTTGCAGAAGTCTGAAAAGGAGCCTCCGATGACGCAAAAATAGTAATTTTGAGATTACTAAATAGAAACTTAACGTCCTCCATATTGCTTAGAAGCTATGCTAACAGACTCTATGGAGAAAGCCAACTTAAAAAAAATTATTTCACATTTCTACTACATATATGACCCAATGTCAATATAGATTCATGTTTCAACGGGAGAAGTATCCCTTTAACAACATGACACTATAGCTTCATCAGAGGTAAACTGACACAACAAATAAGCCAGTGAGTTTGCTCCCTCACTGTCAGTTTCATTTCATTCAACTGCTACATTTATTATTACCATATCAATATTAGCATCATTAAAGTATCCTACACATATTTCTAAGTCTGCATTATCTTTGACTGTTTTACTTTCTGTTTGTATGTGAACCTGTCTGTGTGTTTTTTCTTGATCTTATTTTTGTATTTATTCATGATCTTATTCATGCAGATGGATCATAACCAAACTACTACAACAAAAACTAAGGGAGCAGCAGCAATGATATAGACCAAAAAAAAAAAAAAAAATTAACAGAGAAATAAGAAACAAAATAAAAGAGAAGTGGTGGGCAGGAGTATTAGAGAGAAAAAAGTAGTATGTGAAGGCTAAGATGTTATTGTTTCCTGAGATAACTGTTGTCATGACTTGGATAATATAAATGAATTGATTGATTGATCCAGCTCTCTCTCTTTCCCGTTGCCCAGAGAGCACTAGAGGGGTTTTAAGAGTTGAAAAAAAAAGGTTGAAATCAGGTCTCAAAGTCTAAAGGTTTATTTCAACCTTTTGTCAGTCAGCTACAAAACGGTTATAACATCAACGTGTCAGAAACACATGTTTTGTTTGATCATTTCTACAATGTGTTCATTTTTTTGCATTGACAGGGTGACGAAAATGATGATTGTATGGGTGCTGCTAACAAATAACCCTAACCCTTTATTACATACCAAGGGGAAATTCTGGTTTTACACTCTTTTATTGAGAGACATGCTTCTCTCACACATACACCCGAATCACACATTAGTGGAGAGATTTCAGAGTGGGGCTGCTACACAGGGAGAGGTGTTGTTTGTTCAGTGCCTTGCTCAAGGGCACATAGGCAGTACTCAAGAATTAACCTGGCACCTCTCCAACAACAAGACCTACTTTCATACTTTGGTCTGCGAATAAGAGGGAAGCAGATTAAGTATAGCCTTACAAAAAAAGGACATAACAGTGTTGTTTTTCTACCAATAGACTGCAGAATGTGCAGAATACAATAATGAGTCAGGGCGCTAAGAATTGTCATGAACCTCAATGCACCATGATATACAGTATCCAACGATTTAAGGCATTGAGAAGATGCATGCGAATATAAAACATCTCCGTAATGATGGGCTGTGTGTTCTTATCAAAAAGGTAGAGCGACATGGAAAAGGGAGCAGTTTAAAACAGTAAAGATTGCACAAGCACAGGTATATAATGCAGCTCTTACTATCTACATGTTTTTTTTTTTCCTTGGAGACCCCCCTGCTGAGCTGAGCACCCCAAGGACCCACCAAAAAGGGATTCTTTGCTGTAATAAATTAAGATTAAATGTAATTGTTTTCATTGATAAAATCCCAATAGCATAAACCTGCACACACCCAAAGATCTCTGTATATAAACTATCCAGTAGGTGTGTTATCAAGATTTAAAAGTTATTTAAAGTTAATACATGCAAATCTAATTTTGACATCCTCCGAGCACACAGAGACTCAGTCACGAGTTTGAAACCAGGCTTTTTGCATGCATGTTTTTCATTGGTGACAGCGATGCACTGCACAGTAATACATCATTTTAGCTGCTATAAATATCTTGAATATCGCTATGTGAACGTGTGATGAGTGTTGTGACAGAAGCAGCTTTCCAAACGTCTCTGGTGAATAGTCTGTGAAAAAAACCTTTCACTTTCAGCAGGTGAGGGTCACTGTGTCTCTTTCTGCTAAACTTGTCCTGTGCATGTGTAAGTAGCTTTGTTGAAGAAACATTCCTGTATTCTTTAAGCAGTGAAACATATCATTTATTTGAATCCTTTCCATGGAAAATGTAAATGAAGGCTGTTTGGCACTACTTGTGTCACTTCTAACCTGACGTTAAAAATAAGAAGTAATCAATGTTCTCACTAATGATCTTTTTTTCCCCAGGTGATATTGAGGAATCAGCATTAATTTTAGTTTAATAATAATTTCTCACAGGACCTTTAAGAAGACTTTCTGTCTTCCCTGGAAGTGTCCCTGGATCACTTTCAGTATTTGACACAATGGATTAAAAAAAATAACTGATTAATTGATGATTAATAGCATTTAATGAAAATCAGGGGTAAAATATGATCAGTTAACTTTAAAAGTGACCCTCTGCACGTGTGAAAAGGTTCTGCCATCAGGAGGAAAACAGCGTTCAACCATGCAAAGTATAATGAAGAGCCTGAGGGCAGGCTTGAGCAGCTTCTGTTGTCTTTAGAGCTCATAGTGTCATTTCAATCAGAGCCTACATGTTCATTTAAAAAAAAAGAATGGGATAAGAAAAGACAGGAAAACAAAGGTATCATACACAGACCAACTACATACCTGTGGTTTTGTTCTCGATCCTCGCCAAGCACATGCCCCTCTGCTTGTCGATCTCCTTCACCATGTCACACATCTGATTCTGCACTGAGAACACCTGCAGAGACAGCACTTTGTTGTCTTTACATCCTCACAGATAATCTATCACTGAAGAGTGGATGATGCATGAGATAAATATGTGCCATCAATCGTAAGGAAAACACAACTACTGTCTACATCGGGGTCTTCCTCAGATGATGATAACATTAATCTACCCGACACACTCTGTAGAGACACGATCCATCTTTTTGATTCGTGTGACACTGGCATCATATTCTGAAGATTTGTATGATTCAAACATGTGATGGGAATCTTCAGGCCAGCGCAGCTGAATCTAGGGGGGGTTTACCAGCACAGGAGATATGGACACTGTGCAGGTGCAGAAGATTTATGGATGCTACTTAGGTGGATGAGTCTCCTCTCTGCGGGCATTTATCAGACGGGTAGTATACGGCTATTGTTAGCCAAGAAATGAGTCAATGTGACTGCAACCTCTCTCCCCACACGCATGATGATTCCAGGGTCTTGGTTATGAGAAATCTCACTCCTCAGGCTCTGCAGTGTTACTTCCTCTGAACTACGCCTGGAGAGGATGTTGTCAGTGATGGATCAGCGCTGCCTTTAGCAGCACAAGTTGGAGTATCAAGAGAAACTTCCTCCACTCCATCATCATGACAGTGATCATCACTTTCACCATCCCTGCCAGCAAAAACATCACCTCCCATCTTCACCTCTGCTTCACTGTCACACTGAGGCAATCAAACAGTCTGCAAGAGTACAAATAGATAGAAAAGCCAGCATGCTTTTTCTGCAGGCTTTGACCTCCAGCTGAATTCCTGCATGTATCATAACAGACATGCTTCTCCACTGGAGACAAAAAGACACATGGAGACATCACCATGGAGCCCTGTGTGCAGAAACAACCATCTTCTGTCTACTTCTGCTAATTTACCTTAATTTTAGCCATACAAGCAGGTCAAGTATGGCACAAATACACCTGAATGTCACCGAAAATTAATTAAACTCTGAACAGTGTTCTGTTTGGATGCCAAATCTAATTTAAAGGCTCTGCCTCCGAGGTCTGTGAAATTGAAGGGATTGACACCTGAATGAGACCGATGGTGATGACATGATGGGAGAGGATTTAATTCTGGATTATAAAAACTTTTTTTTATTGAATAGCCCAAATAATACTGTTATCTATGTTGTAAAAATGTATGTGAAGAAATAAAGATACGTGATGATTGACCAAATGACGTCAAATTTCTCACACCTCTGCGCTGCATGCAACGCGGAGTCACGCGTCAACGCTTAAATAATAATAATAATAATAATAAAAGGTAGCGAACTACATGAGACACAGTTATCCGGTACTGTGCAAAATAATGCGCCCAATTTGCGGATATAATAAACCTGAGTATAAATGAGCAAAAAGTCAGAAGTGTTTCAAATACTCACCGGTTGCAGCAACAGGCAGCAAAGAAGGATGGAGCCGCGTTTTGAAACTTCCACCATCATATCCTTTAGTGTGGGCCTACTAAAGCTTATTGAAAAAATAAATATAGATTGAAAAAAAGCGCAAAATCAGTTAAAAGTTCAAATCAATGTGTCTGTAATCCCCCGCGGCTTCGTGAGGCTCTCCTCGATGACTCTTTCTTGACGCGCTCTTGCGCACTGAGTGGAGTGAATTTCTGCGCTCCTGAAATCCTCCTCCTCCTCCTCCTCCTCCTCCTCCTCCCACTCGTGCTTCACCTTGAACAGCTAACAAGTAACCAATGAAAGATAATCAGAGGGGACGTCAGGGGGGGGTGAGGGCGTCAACATGTAGCCGCACAGAAAAGAAGGAAACTACTGTGTGGGTTTTGTAAATTAGGACACCACTGAGTCTTTGTGTGCGTTTTTTTTTTTTGACAGCTAGTCTGAGGAAAGCAACAATGTCATCAGCTGTGGCTGCGGTGTGGAGTTAGATTTGTTGTTGCAGTTACTTTCTGTATTACCCTGTAAACAGAGCAAATCAAGTGTAGGCTATACAGCTTGAATGTTTGTTAAGGTTTTTTTTTTTTAAAAAAACAATACGGTAATTGAATTTTTACATTCAGAGCGGACTTATACAGTTTTTAAGTAGGCATATAATAAGTAGCCTACACCTCACCTGAGCATTCATGATTTAATGCACTGACGTTCAGAGGCAAATCATGCAGACTGCTTTTACTCCATTGCTTTGATTTGACAACTTAAGCTACTTCTTTAAAATACAACCATATATAAACTTTAGATAGATTACACATGTGGTTTCAAACTTAAGGCTTGTCATGTTTCACATGTGAGTTATTGGAAGTTCCACCAAACTCCTCACATGGTTTCATTTTACAGACAGCTGGAAGCCCAAAGAGGTAAAATAATCCGATACCTTATATGAAAAGACTTAGGTCAAAAGAAATGAAAACAAACAATGTGAAGCAGACCTTCTCTTTTCCCTTTTCCTGCTCATTCCATCATCTCACGACTCCTCAGATTCATCCTGAGAGCAGCCCCATCAGTAAAATGATACGTTTACAGACAATACAGATAAGACAATAAGGAGATGATGTGCAATGAAGCAAAATAAATGAATAATGTTGTAAAAAATAATGAGAACAACTAGCTACTGGAGACTTTTTTTTTGCTTTGCTAGAGTTATGCATGTTATCCAGATAATCCTTCATGTACAATATTAAACTGTTCTGAGTTTGACCAATTTGGGATTCTCGGGGCCGATTCTTAAAAACATGTTAGAGAGAAAAATTCACCTTGAAATGAAAGAGAGGCCATAAAGTGCTTCTTTTAGCTGTAATGATAAAATAACTTTCTTATGCAGATTGTGCATCAATATGACTTTACAGAGAAGAGATATATCTGTCTTAAACATATTGAATAAATGTTATTTAACATTATGATCAATTGTCAACACGTTTAATCCAAACCACTGTCTGCTCAGGTGATGCTCCGCTACATGTGCTGCACACAGTGCTGAAGTAATTGTCAACTATTGAGTCTTTGCGCCCTCTGCTGGACAATCTGTGATAACACATTTTTTTTAAAACCCCAAGCATTGTTTTCTGCATTACATGCTCTGTAAAAGAAAATGTTGTATCAGCTGATATAGAAAAACACATTCCCCCTAGAAAGAAAGAAAGAAGAGAACTGAAGACCCTTCGAGGGGTCTACAGATGGTTTAATTAGATGAAATGATGAGAATGGACACTTTTATTCTTCCCATGCAGAGACACTTATGTCTCACAATCTTATATCTCTCCTTTTTCATATCACTGTGTGTGCATCCAAACACACTCATGGGTCAAATTCTCCTCAATTAAATAACTGCAAATATATATAACTGTCAAAAACTGTAACAACAATAACAAGAAAGATAGTTTGATACAACTAGAGCCCGACTGATTTATCGGCAAGTCGAAAATAACCGACCAATATTAGCTTATCAAGTGACTATCGGTATCAGCTAATTTTATCGCAGATATGTGCCGATATTAATAGATTTATTCACCAGACAAATAGCATTTCATTTGAGTTTCATTGTATTAAACAAGCAGTTCTCTCTCTGGCTGTCACCAGCAGAGGGCGCTGTATGGATAACAACGAGCATCATCACTCTCCAGAGTGTCAGGCTGTGACGCAGGTAAATGCGCAGTTACTATCCCGTTGAATGACCATCTTGCCTTTGTTATAAATCTTTTACACGAGCATTAATCACTGTATTTTATGGATCAGTGCAATACATGTGTATATCTATCTATCTCTACAGATCGCTCATATTTTAGAAAGATGTCGGCCACTATATCGGCTTTCCCGATATCGATATCAGTATTAGCCCCAAAAATTCCATATCGGTCGGGCCCTAGATACAACAACAAAATGAAATCGCAGGAACATGACGTCCATTCACTCATTACCCACCTGACAGGATACTTCACACAATCATCAAGTAGAGGCAATCTATATATCTATAGACATTGCCTTATTACATCATAATACTATTGTGACTTAACATTCACACTCCCAGAAAATACACACCACTGAGAACCCTTTTATCATTAGTTCAGGTTATATAGACGACACAGTTAGTGAACAGTACCGTCATGTGCAATAAAATCTGCCTCTTTTTTTTTTAAAGGTTTATTTTTGGGAGTTTTGTGCCTTTAATGCAGCGATAGGACAGTAAATAGAGTCATAAATCATGGAGACAGAGAGAGAGTAGGGAATGACATGAGGGAAGGGAGCCACAGATGGGATTTGAACCTGGGACTGCAGCCTCTGTACATGCGGCGTGCGCACTAACCGATGCGCCAACAGCGCCCCAATATCTGTCTTCTTCATTCAGAGCTGTTCAAGGCTGTCACAATGCTTACAGATAATGCTACTGTACATGATGCATGATACACATGTGGATGTATCAAACTGTGGAGAAAAGAGAGATTTAAACTACAGCATTCAAATAACAACAGTGTGGGAACTCTGAAAACGCATGTGAGCTCCCTGTGGATATCTGCAAACGGACAATACAAGTGAAAAACATGCAGCGTGTTTGTCTCTGGTCAGGTGGTTTCTCTGTCAGGCTTCAGTGTGAAGATATGAGCATTAATTCATTTACTTCCAAACATGAGGAAAACACGTTAGTGACAACAATACACAGACGCACGCTTTGTTTTCTGCTCACTGAATCCTCTGTTTGCTCCGTGTGCTTCACCTCAGGTTTAACTGCTCTGTTTTTACTGTCAGCGTGTGACTGTGGGAGTATGAGGAAAGCTTTGATGGATGTCAGATTAACCTTCCTCTAGGATTGAAGTCGAATGTTTGGATAAATCTGGTGGAATCTCAGGACAGAAACTGTCTTTCTATCCCAGTTTGCAGTTTCTTGTTCTCAACCGCGTCTGCTGCTCTTTGAGGCCTAACATCCAATTTATCAGAAATGCCAGAAATCAGAAGAATCTCAGTGGTAAATAAATATGTTACCTTTATTCAACACCATTTCCCACTCAATAACACTTATTGGCAAGAGTTTTTTTACCGCCTGTAAATTTGCCTCAAACTTTCAGTCGAGAGGATGGTCTGTGATTCCAAAGACGATAAAACGTGATTACTTTTTCAGACTATTCTAGACATGTGACAAAATATCTACATGGCAATATATCGTCGCCCTGACTCCTGTGGTACATTTCTTTTAGAAGAGCACTCAAACAGGTTTCCCTGCTTATTGAACTCATGGCCTCCCCCCTTCATGACTCCTCACAGAGGCTCTTGTGACATGAAGGAGGGTAAAGTAAACAGAAGCTACAAGTTGACAGCTGGATGTAAGAGGAAGATTAAAGCAGGATAATGTCAGACAGCAGTGAAAAGATGTTTGAAAAATGAAGAATGAGAAGAGGTGAAACTGACACAAAATGTTTTAAAAAAGTGTCCGTATATTTTTCCTCAAGAAGACAGCCTACAGTACATCACCTGAAGCAGGATTTAAGATAGACTGCGAGTTAATCTGTCACGTTTCTCAGGTCAAATATCAAGGTCTAATGATGGATGATCACTTAAAATTAGAGTACATGTTTTAAAAAGTCAAAATTAAATCTGTTAACATTTAACTAAACCCCTTCACAGGTCCCACAATCCATCATGAGAAACATAATCAGACAAAGGCCTTCTGACCACATTCACATCCTGGACATGCTGAGTTTGAACAGTCACATTTCATCTGCACATGACAGTCTAACCCACGAGTGTTTCCCTGGCCGGGCTCCTCAGCCTCTAACTCGTCCACGAGGAATTCTGCTGCTGGGAACTGTAAAATATCAGGCAGGAAAACTTCCTTTGTCCTGACGTCGTTTCTATAAAAAGGGAGCTAATATGTGGGGCGAGTCGCCCACTGAACCCAAAACAGACCACCACTGTCAACATTTTCAAATTAAGCTGATGGAGTTTTTACAAGCTAATCAATCATGTGGTTGCATAGGGGTGGTGGTGGCGGGGGAGCATTGTTTTTTGTAAACAGTATGACTGTATATATAAATATGAGCATGTGGGTGTTATGTACCAGACAAAAATGTGAGCTACTTTAAACTCTTTTCTGTCATCAGTGAGCATGCTTTATGTATTTCAAAGGCCTCTTTGATGAGATTAGCAGCGGCTATAAAAGGTTTTGGTTAATTTAATTCATGCAGGGCTAAAAGTTAGGACCAAGATCTGCATCCGGACTGAACGGCAAGTCAGTCTAGATTTGAAATACTGGTCCTATTGGACATTGCTGTTTTAGTGACATTTGATTTAAAGCGACCCTGTTCATTATTCCCAATTACTGACATCATTAACCGCACAAAATGGTTAGGAACATTCCCCATGGACTGTGCTGACGCCTTTCTAGACTTCAAACAATTTAAGAACACAATACTTAATTTCACATCCACAACTTCCACACACACATTCATACAATAGACTGTAAATATTAATCGATGAAGCCTGAGCGACGTCCCCATCTCTCACTGCAGGGGGGGCTTCAGAGTACAATCGATGGCAGCCGCCATGCTGGAAATGCTGTCTCAGCCCAACTTTCATTAAATCTAACGACATGATGAGAGCGGGTTTTAAGCCTCTTCACAAACCATTACAATGTACTCACCTGTCA